GTGTTGTTGTTGATTTCTCGTTGGGTTGCTCTTTGCATCATGCACATTGACATCTTGTGAATGCTGCACCTATGCTGCTGGTTGTTGCCACTTTCATCATTGCTAGATCCTAGGCTGTCAGTGCATTTCACTTTCTGATATGCTACAGTGTGTGTGTGTGCAGCAGACATTGCATTGCACAGTCTGCTGCTGACTGACAAAGGAGCAGAATGTGCAATGCAATGTATGCCGCACACACACACCCACACACATACACATACACACAGACACACACATACACACAGACACATACTCACACACACTCGCACACACACACACACACACACACACACACACACACACACACACACACACACACAGTCACACACACTCACACACTCACACACACACCCATCCATAGGTCAATATCCGCCGACTCATCAGGAGGTTAAACACCGACAGTCTGCCCTGGATGCATTTGACTGATGGATGTGTGTGTGTGTGTGTGTGTGTGTGTGTGTGTGTGTGTGTGTGAGGCAGATATTGCATTGCACATTCTGCCCAGTTCGCGGGCCTTGAAAAACACATTCTGGAAACACATTCTGGACTAGTTCGCCCGAACGGGCGAACGTAATCGCGGCAACGTTCGCTGTGCTACGCAGATTTCACTGTGTGAACGAGCTTCCTGGAAAACGGGAAAGAAACTTCTGTAGGTAGTGGAGACCACGTCCAACAGACACTCTGAAAACGAGGGAGTGGGCGGATCCATTAGCTTATTGCCAAAAAGCCTTAAAAATCTTCAAACCCTTCTACCCAGTGGCAGTATGCCCCATCCCACATCTCATTACTAGGATCAGGCATACTACTCCTATGGGGTAGAGTAGTGGTTGGGAGGAACTTCAATCTCTCTTTGCACAGGCATCACTACTGATTCACCAGTATCAAACCTCCAGTACAGGGCCTCTGGCAACTTGAGAAAACGAATGGCTACCTCCTACTACAATGGGCCTCGCTGCACTACTCTCGAAATGTGCAAAACGAGAGTGAATCTTCCGCTAGAATATGGAAAGATACACGGCCATGATTTTTGTCTTTTGCGCATGTCAAGAGTAGTGCAGCCAGGCCCAATGGCTGAAAAAATGCTGAGCGTGCATCCCAGACTTGCACGGCAGATGCCTGATTGCTGTTCTGTGCCACTGAAACCGTTTCTCTATCTATGGGCATGGTCCCACAGCTCGCGGAAATGTGCAAAAGACATAACCTACATATGCATTGGGGGGATTTAATTATCTTTCCATTTTCCTTCTTTTATTACTACTATTATTGGGTTAATAGCAAAACTATTGCTGTTTCGGAAGTTTGGCAGCAAAAATGTCGTCCGTTCGAAGTTTCCTTTGCAAAAATAGAGGTTTCGTTGCAGCTTTATGGGGTTCCGGTAGTTTGCCAGCAAAAATACCGCGTTTTGCCCAGTTTCACAGCGAAGGACACGTAGGCCCCTGGCCTCAGGGCCTCAGGGACTCAGCGTTCTGGCCTGAGGCACTCAGCGTTTTTTTTTTTTTTTTT